TATAATATAATATAATATAATATAATATAATATAATATAATATAATAGTGACCCATCTAATTCAGTAACAAGCAATTTGATGCTAATCACATTTCTTGATCTTCAGTCAGTTTATCCTGGCCATGCTGGCTGGTAAAATGAAAGTTGGAATCTTAAACATTCAGGAGATGTCTGGTACTACTGGTAGCAAATAAACTGCAAGTCTGTCTGGGATTGTTCAGACAGTCAGCTTACCTCTGCATGGTGGTCATCAAGGCATGAATAGCTAAACTGGTCACAAGCTTATGTACTTTGCAGAAATGAACCAATTGGGAGGAAAGAAAGAGAACCAAATGCCAAACCCATCCTACCACAATCAAAATTGGAAGCCTGGAAATGAATGTCAAGTTTTTGTATCTTCTTTGAACTCCACATAATGGTCAAATTGTAACTTGTAGACTATACCTTCTGCATGTGGCCCAGCAGAAATATGGTAAGGTAGTCTGAGGCTGAAAGTTTAACTATCCAAATATCTTTATATATTATTAATTATACAGCTACTGTACATGCCTGATCCAAGTAATATTTAGTATTAAATATTCTTTATACATAGACGTGTAATGGTGGATAGTGGAAGAAATCACAACAAAGGACATTATCTATGCAACAGCAGGGAAAGAAGCAATATTTGCAATGTTTATATCTTAATTTACACAGTTACATAGCTGGCTAATTAAAATAATGTAATTGGGCAATGTATAAAAGGTGCTTTAAAAAATGAAAATCTACTTACAATAGATGGATGAGCATTGCTGGCTATCTTTTCAGGGAATAAAGAATCACTTTGCAGGTGTTCTGGAAAAGCAGAGCCATTCTCATCAATTAAATGAATTTTATTTGGTGGAGTCTTGTCAAATGGAGTGCTGCAAAAAAATAATGTAATAGAAACTGGAGTCAATGTATTGGCAAATGTTTTAATGCAATACATAAAAATGCTACATATTTTTTCTTAATTTCATTAATAAGCAAATTTTGAAAGTGTTATTATTTTTAAAAAGTCTACATTAATGTCTCCATCAACTGATGGAGAAAAAAGAATCTTAAAATTTGGTGAAATAAGAAATAGCTGAATTTTCAAGAATGGATTGTACTGAGTTTTATGACTAAGCTAACAATGTCTGACTAAAAATTTAAACTTGGAGAATAGTGAAATTAACGGAATATACAAAACAATAAAAAAGAAATAAAAAGGATCTGTCTGTAAAAAAATAGCAAGATAAAATTCAAATTCAGCAATAATGGCTTACGTATACACAATACATGGCACAGCAAGGCAAATAGAAATATTTACAATATGGTTTTTAAGGCAGTCTAAATGTCTACAGACAATGTAAATTGTATAAAGAAGGGGGAAGTTAGAAATTAAATAACTATCTATTTTTTCCAAGAAGATTCTTTTTGTTTTTGTTTTGTTTTTCCTTTTTCTCTTTTTTAATGTTCTTTTTAAACATTTATTGTTTAACAAAAAATAAAATAAAAAAATACAGTGGAAACTTCAGTATTGATGGGCTGTGTGTTAAAATAAAGCCAGGTCATGGCACACACTTGAAAATAAATCAGGAAGACTGCAATTGTGGAGTCAGTCTGGCAAGAACGAAGAATTCTTATCCACAGGAAATATGCACATGTAAAGTTTGTAACAATTCTGGGTAGTTAGAAAGCTGATAAAAGTAACAAGAGTTAGGCAACTTGCAGACCTCAGCTAAAAGTTAGGAATAGAGATGGCTTACAGCAAACCAAATGTGTATTAGATCACTCCTGAAGCATTCATTAGCCAAGTCTTAGGAATAGGGACAACTAGAGACCAAGAGAACAAATTGTAGAATTATTACTAAAAAGTTTATTAAATAATATTTCTTATTATCTCACTTTGTCCTGCCTCCTCCTTTAGTGAAAAAGTATACAGCTTACTTAATCCTTTGTTCTTGGTTCTTGGCATTTTGACCAGGAGCCCTTTTCCTTGGAGTACTCCAATTAAAAGCAATCAGAAAACCTGCACCTCGTGTCTGGCGTCCATCATTGACTTTGGCAGCAGACTTAGACCCGAATTGGGTACAACAGTATTAAATAAACCTTCATAAATAAGTCTTCAAATGCAGAGGAGCCATGACAGGAAAGTATGCCATTCCATTCAGGGTAGTGTCAGCTTTGAAAGCTTTCTCATAAAATAATTTGAAGGATTTTGCAACTGTTTATCAATGTCATACTTAGCATTAATTGCACTGTTTAAACAGCCCAATGTTCATAAATATTTTAGAAGTCATATTTAACATTCATTTAAACTTTGTTTTCCTCAGCTTTAGTTTAGCTTATCTAAATTGTCACAGCTTGTAATCTGTTCTAGTTTCTATCATACAAATATCACTTTATTCAGCTATCTGTATTTATAATTTTTCACATTTTATAATGTAATTAAACAACAGCAAGGGGGAGGATTATTGCTAAAAAGTGGGTTTGAATGGTGTGTTTGTAATTTTACTGACTTCTCCAGTCCCTTGCTTTCTACAGTAATTAAAACTCAAAGCTAGATAGCATAACATAATCTTTATTCGCTTTTGTAAAGAACTCCTAAATAATTTCTAAATCACCTGAAAGAAGACCTGAACCTTCTTTCCCAACAAAACAAAACATTGGTGGAACTTGGAGACATTAATTTCTAGTAATTATATGTTATTTATTAAATAAAACCAAGATGTATCACGTTAGAATTACTGCTGTTGCATAACAGTTTCGGGGGGAGGCTGCGCGTGCACACACGCACACACACACACACTCTAGCCTTATGCAGCTCTCTACTGAGGTCCCAAGCCTTTTCAGAAGGCCAGAAGGTGGGGAGGCATTTCACTTCCAGCAGCAAGATGTTCCACAGGGCAAGTGTCATGGCATAAAAGGCACTTTTCCTGGATCCTGGCAGATTAAATTCCTTGACTAATAGGGTCTGCACTAGGCCCCTTCTGTCAGAATAAGAAGAGTGGGCCAATCCCATTGAAGCAACATATGCAAGTTAAAAGTGAAGCCTATAGCCAACCACACTGATTAATATGGTTCTTGCTGTTGCTGTATTGGACTGCTGGCTGCCTTGCTTCAGTGAGCTTTTATATTTTTGTTTTCAACTTGATGAATGGTTAGACAACAAGTGAAGGTTGTGCTGAGCCTGGAGGTAAATCTGAAGGATAAGTGAACATTTTAACATGCTATTTTCATAGAAAGTTGTTTCACAGGCCTTCAAATGCAGAGGACTCATGACAGGAAAGGATGCCATTCCATTCAGGGTAGTGTCAGCTCTGAAATTCATTGCTGTCATCAGTGCTGGGAGGTAAGTGATGTAATGACATAGTTTTTAGTAGGAAAAAATATGAGTTTGAAAGTCAAGGTCACAGAGAGTGATGTAGTAAAAAATTGTACATGCAAGATAATTGGTTCACGTGATTAATGAGGTGTGAAAGTGGATGGAGGTAGGTGGAATTTTGTGGGAGGTATACCAGTACTGAAATTCCACCGGAGGATACCAGGTTTTTTTGTTCTGAATAAAGTTTTGAGATTATGCCTGTCTTGGAGTTACTGTTTCAAACGAAGGATTTCTGGAAGTCTCACAGGTAGAATAATTAGATAACAGGTAGATATTTACTTTCACATGTGAGAAAACTGCAACCTCAAACTCTGTGCCAAAATAAGGTTTTACTGTTTTCAGTTCCTATCTTAATATAAAACATAGCCTAATGTTTTATTTAATCCACTATCATGTACTTTCAAAGCACAGTGATTCTCCAAAATTTCAGATATAATCTTTAACTTAATCCTTAATCTTTGTTTTCTGAGATTATTTGGATTTTTAAAATCTTTTTTAAAAGTATGAAGTGTTTCTTTATTATAAGTGTCATGCCCCCGTGAGAGTCTGAATCCGAGGAGGAAGACAAACAGTGTCAGGGAGCGGGAGAATGGTTCTGTTGGCTGTGGAGGAAACGGGAAGGGCAAAATCAGGCTGGGCAGAGTAGGGAAGATGTAGAACAAAGAAGAGGGGGTTCAGAGGAAGACCAAGGCCCACCTCCTCTTCATCCTAGGGCACGCAGAGAAGAATGGAGAAGAGAGCCATGTGGGTTGCATGGCTTACAAGGGAGGAAAGGGCCCCAATTCCCTTCACAAGGCACATCTGGGGAGGGAGTTTAAAGAACCAGTTGGGAGGGGTGTTTGTTGGGAACAAATGTTGAGTTTATCTAATGTTGGTTGCTGTTATCTTAGTTCCTGGAATCCTCCCAACTGGTTGGATTTACTGCTATGTTACTTCACTTCTGGAACTCCTTAGTTTGCCCTGCCAGGTGTATTACTTTATCTTGCTTTGTTGGATTTATAGTTTAAAGTTTTCTGTTTACACTGTTTTGGATTGGAATATCAGCAGCCAAAAGCGGTTGCAGGTTCCTGGGAGAGTTTTTCTCAAGACTAGAAGGTAACTGGAACATTGGGTGGCAAAGTTGAAGCTAATAAAGGCATTCTTATTAACTGGCTGGGTTGCCTTTGTGTCACACCCCAGGTCATCACAATAAGTATTTCTGACTGAACCCAGGATTTCAAAGCAGAGAAGGATTGTTTCTTTGGGAAGGAATAGATGCACATGGACAATATTCTGTTCAGTTTCTAGGTATGCAGAGAGTCTCCAGTTTGCTTCTCCAAAACCCTGAAGGGTGGCACTGCCTATCCTGTAAAACATAGAGTAAAATGTGGGAACACTGAAATGTGATAAATTCATGATTTCCCTTCAAATCAAGGCTAATATTTACAATCAGACCAGAACCAGTTGTCAAAGTTTCAAAATATTCTGGGATGCAAAGGGCAGGTTTTTTTTTCCTATTTAGTTCTGATTTATCATCTCCAGTTTCCTATTCTAAATTATTGTGATAACTTTTCTTAATTACATTAGCTCAGAAAATAGTACTGGGAAGATAACAAATAACTATCTAAAGTTAATAAATGTTGCAAGTTAGAAAAAGTAAATTTTTAAAAGGTTTATTTATTAATTTATTAATAATTACAGGTTAATGTATTTATGTATTTATGTTAATGTATTTATTTATGTTGTTTTAAAATATATAGCCAACTTTTTCTTCTTTTTGTCTTACTGCAGGAAGACCTACCTGCGGAAAACCTGGACTAAGTATGAGATACTGAATCTCCAAGGATATGATAATTTTTCCTTACTTTTCTGGCAGATACATAAAAAGATGAGGTAGTAATAACCTGGTTCTTCTCATGGCAGTTGATCTGAACACAAAGTTACTGGTTTAGCATTTCAGCTAACTCAGTCCAAAGAATTCAACCCATGTCTTACATCTTTTAATTTGCCTTAAAAAAGATTGTATCAATCTTTTTTTCAAGATTATTTCAGTCTTTCTAGTTATGAATCTGGACCTCACCCAACTATTTTACCTGATTTGGCTAAAATATTTTCAAACATTGCTTTCATCTTTATTACTGCACAGTTGAAATAGATGTTTAATGAATTATCATTTTCTAAAAGATATAAACATTTCCCTAAAGAGAAAGTCCTGCATATTCAATAGAAACAAAAGCAACATTCTCTAACAGTATTTTTTCTTTTCTTTTTTGGAGAGCTCAGCAAAGCAGTCAGCTATCATGCAACTTACTTTTGAGCAGATGTATTAATGGCTTCAGAAATTTGACTGCATATTCAAGTTCAGCTTTGTGGATTCTGCCAAGCTGTACTATGTGATGTTCCAAAGGAAGGCTTGACAGTTCCATAAGTTCTATGTAATCATATTGAGGTCCTATTGAAAGCACAAATACAGCATAGCCTTTGCATTTGGCTCTTAGGGCTGCATCACTCAACACTTCCTTATCCCAAGGACTTGTTTCCCCAACAGATATGATAAAAATAGCCTTTTTTTCTCTCTGGTTAAGTCCCTCTGAAAAGATATTATCAATTGTCCACTTTATGGCATGGCCAAGTGCTGCTTCTCCATTTAGTTTCTGAAAAGACTTTTCAATATGCCTCTTCATTTGTTTTTTACTTTCATATGTCACCAAGTCAAATTCAATTTTTACTGGAAGTTCTTGTCTTTGGAATTGGAAATTCAGTGGAGCATGACTCACAACAGCTATCCGATCACCTATCAAAGAGGTCTTTGGATCTGTAGAAATTTCAAAGCTGTCCAATACTCTACTTAGGAAATGTTTTAGTTCTTCAAATCCAGTAGTGCTTATTTTCCTGGAATTTTCCAGAATGAATGCAGCATCCATATAAGCCTCAGTTTTGAAAGGTTGCGTTCTGAAGCAAGATTCATCTGGTCTGCATTTGTCTACAAATAATACACAAATATTTTAATTATAGAAAATTATTGAAATTGAGATCTGATTACTTTGCAATTTTCATTTGTTCTTACCATAGCAAATTACGCACACCTGAAGTCTTTCTAAGACTGAAAGATAATCACTCTTCTGATGGAGGTGGATAACTTGAAACAATCCTGTGCTGTCCATCTAAAGTAATGGAAAATAAAAATATAACTTGGCACAGCTTGGCAACAAGATGTCTGACTCTATCTGCATCATTATTAAATCCAATGACAGCTTGCAGGACAATGTTTGATAAGAATTGATGCTTGACGGTTGGGATTTCATAAAATATATATTCTCTTCATCATAGGAAAGATGTCCTTAAACCATAACTAATTAAGTTAATAAAACTGCAATACAGAAAAATAACTTCTGTCTGCTGCCCATGAAATGTATAATACCAAAGGATAAATACAGTTTTTCATATTTATCCACAATAGCTTCTTCATATAGATATGATACATTGTCTTTTGTTACTGTGCCATGGTGCCATGCTGGTAAGACAAGTAAACTCACACCCCAGTTTTGGCTTTCAAGATTACAATCCTTTGTGCAGAATCCTAGTCTGTGAAGAACATATGGGTGAATTAGCCAGACAAGATAGTTAGGCTGTTTGGTCTTCATTTCAGGATCCTTTTATGGGCGGAGGTTATTTCAATTTTAGATCAATATTGTCTCCCTGTGTCCAACTCACTTCATTAGGCTGAGCCTAATTATTTTGAATTAATATTTTGCAAAAACAGTTTTTGCACTGAGTCTTCTAGAGCTGTGATATAGAAATCCTCACCTTGTTCTGTTGCTTGATTTAAGATATTTCCATATCCTTCTTACAATTAAACAATTGTGCTGATTTGCCAGTATCCTTCTTCCTCCCTGGCTGCTTCAAGGAATGGCTTTATCTTTCCCCATAGAGAATCTAGATACAGTTTTATGCCTCTTTTCTCACAGTGAGAAAGAAACTCAGCAAAAGGCATAACCACAACAAAGCCAGAATTATATTAGTGGCTGGGTTTTTGTATTCCAACTACCACCCATTGGTAGCTCCATAGGAATAGTAGATGGAATCAGTATGGATATTTATTGAATAGCACATATCTGTAGGACAGAATAAAAAGGCTATAACAATGAAAAGGCCTTCATTTATAGTAATTTGATCTGTAACATTTAAATATCATATCAGGCTCCATACAGTATGTGCTAAATTTCTTGAAACAGTGCTTCTGATAACCAAAAAGAAAAAAGGCAAGTTACTCACCTCAAAAGCTTGGGTAATTTCAGGGATGCTTTTAAAAGAAATGACTGCTGGCTGGATACCTAAGGCACTGAACTCTAGGACCGCTGTACCAATCGAGTCAGGATGTTCAGACTCTCCATTGCTGAAGAAGACAGCAACTTTCCTCACATTAGCACCTTGGAGAGTTCGCTTGAAGAGATGCCTGGCAACAAACCTCATGGATCCACCAATGTCCCGTCTGTTGGTTGTTCTCTGCAAATAAAGTCTATTGAGCTCCTGTAACAACTTGTTCTTGTTCTGGAAATCTGTAAAGCGGATCAGATAGTTGGTGTTGGAGCTGTAGGACACAACAGCCACTCTGGCTCCCACAGGACAATTGCTCTCTCTGATGTTTGTTTGGTTCACAATATCAATGACAGTCTTTCTCATTTCTTCAAATATCTTAGGATTGGTATCTTGAGATATATCCAAAGCAAATACTAATTCTGTTGGATATGCTGGACATTTTGGTATTCCTGGAAAGCAAATAAGATTATAAAAATAATCATATCTTGCCCAAAGATAGCAATCAACCATATTGGACGACAATCTTTTTGGATAGTTAATTATCCTGCCCTTTTTAGGACTCTTTAGGGTTACAAAAGTAGACAGGACAACAAAACATAACAAGCAGAACTGTGTCACATATGCATACTAGAATAGAATAGAAAATAGAATAGAATAGATATATTGTCTAAATGTGATTGGCCACACAAGGAATTTGTCTCTGATGCATAAGCTGTAGTGAACATACAAGCAATAGGTGAAAAATCATGAACATAATCATAAAATAAAATCATCATAAATCATAAGATACAACATTCAGTGATACTCATAGGATACTATATAAGCAATCAACATAAATCATAATAGGATACTAATAAAAGCAATCAACATAAATAATAAGATAATGGTACAAAGCATTTAAAAGAGGAGCAAGCAAAGCACCCATCCTTCATTAATAAAAGAGCTGCATCCTTTGGAAGGCATGCATTCTGAAGCAGCTGCATCCTTTATCTGCATCTAACTTTCCAATAATCTTGCTTCAAGTGCCTGTACTCACTCTACTATTAATGGTGGAGCAAGGGCTGCATGTAGAAAACAGAAAAATAGTAAAAAAAAAAAAGGAGAAGAAGCTGCACAGGCCTGAGGTCATTATACTTTCATACAGAACAAAAGGAGAATTAACTATTGGGAAAATACTCACCTGTCCAGCAGGCTACACAGAAGAAAGAAAGTAAAATATTATTTCAAGCAATACGATTATGAAAATTCTTAAAGAGAGGAGATACTCTTATAAGATGTTCTTATTAATGATTATAGGTATCCAATAATTGCCTCAGCAAGGAACAATGTGTAAAAAAGAAAGCTGGTCATCTTGGTAGTTTTATCACTTTTGTGTAAATGTTTGAGTTTTTTTCCACACTGTTTTTTCCACACTGGGCTTGATCACATTGCCTCAACTATTTGCTAGCATTCTCATATGTAAACAGCCATACTTTTCATATTTTTGACCAGAGATAATGTTCTTGATGTATCTACATTACCAGAAGCTCTGAATGACTAGTGGTATAATCATTTCTAAGTGAAAAAAATAGTAGACAATTAACATACTGTAGTATCAAAACTAGTCAAAGAAATGTAATCTAACATGACCTTTTAGTGGTGCATAAACAAAATTTCTGGTCTCCTCAGTTAAGAGGTTAGTAATGTAGCTTTGGTTATGCAACCTATGCTTGTTCCATTATATTTTTATGCTATTATAATCCCACAAGAATCAAACAACATGATTTAAGTCTTAAACAAACATGTAATCATTTTTAATGGGAAACAGTATACATATATTTTAAGTAAATGAAATTCAATTAATTAGAGCTAACAACCTCACTGTTCCCATTATAAATGGTTAAATTAAATCAGTATTTTCTTATATAACATATTCTCTGTTCTTCACAATTTGTGCTCTTGGTTGATATTTCTGTCATTTAATATTAAAGATGAAGTGGAGATACTTACAGCTATGTTTCTGTACATATTCAATAAGTTCACAAGGATGAAAAAAATGAAATGTAAAAATATTATTAGATAAAAAGGTTTTCAAGAATGTGTATTAATGCAATGTTCCAAAATTGGCAGCTTGTGTGTCCTGAGGCAGCAATATCAAGGCATTATAGATTTTTTTAAATCAAGAATTTAAAAGAATCATCATTCCAATATGTTTTGAAAATATTAGGATTCATTTCAACAGATAAGAAATGATCAGATTTCAGTTTCTCAAATTTAAATGCTCGGTGAGTAATCCTAACCAGCTTTCTTTTAGTTCTATTTGGATATTGGACATGCTGACTACCTTCACATTCTCACTAACCACTCATAGTACCATAAAAATTATATGGCATCGTGCAGATATCCATATAACAACATATAGGTTTGATGTCTGCATGTGCATTAGCATTCATGGCAGAAAAGGTCCCAATGGAACATCCTTACTTTAATGGAAGCCAGTGTGTACCTGAGTCTAGAAATAAATGTATGATGAGAAAATATACTCAATTCATTCTAGTAATACATACTGAATAGAAGGACTGGCCCTTTGCTCCTTTTGGACCCTAGAAGAATAAAATTAGAATTAGACTTTTGCAAAATAATTTACAGTATAGCTTCATCTCCAAGTTTAAGATTTTTATATCATAAAGTGAGAAGCTTCTGTACTGACATAATTACAATGTAGCATTCCAAGTAATGCATCCATCAAAAGCAGAACTCCAAGGCACGTAGATTCTTCAAAGAGCATGTTTATTGGATACATCATATCAGCACAGCTAGGGAGAACCAACTCTACAAGTTCCTGCAGTTTTAGCCTAATTAAAAGAACAAATATTCCCCCTCATAGATGTGACCAGTCACATTATCTAATGAAAGTAGCTGGCAGGCTGCTTGGTCACTCCTCTCCTCTTTCAACTGCCACCTGTTGGGATGACCTTGATTCCCATAAGAAAACTTTTTGTTTTAACTGTTAGCCAATCTATCTACTTTCCCCCTCCCTTCCACCTCTCAGGATTCATGCAATTATGAGGCAGCAAAAGATGGCTTCAGCAGGTTCACTTCAGAGTTGACAGTCAGATCTCTCCCCTTAACTCAAGAGAAGTTCCTGGAAAATTAAAAAATAAAATAAATTAGTCTTCCATCAGTCACCCATCCCTCCCCCCAGAAGTTCTTTTGGCTTTTGAGGGAATTTATTGAGGAAATTCTTAATAAGTCTATCTGCTTTTATATCCCAGCTTTTAACCAAGGTGGCCTCGGACAATGGGTATCCCTTCCATTGCACTAGGTTGTCATGCCCCTGTCGAAGTCTGAATCTGGGGAGGAAGACAAACAGTTGACAGGGAGTGGGAGTGTGGCTCCATTGGCTATGGAGGAAACTGGGGAAGGGCAAAGTCTGGCTAGGCAGAGCAGGAGAGAGGTAGAACAAGGGAGAGGGAATTCAGAGGAAGACCCAGGCCCACTCCCTATTCATCCTAGGGCACACAGGGAGGAATGGAAAAGAGAGCAATGTGGGTTGCGTGGATTATGGGGGAAGAAAGGGCCCTGATTCCCTTCATTAGCCACACCTGGGAAGAGAGTTTAAAAGAAATGCATGCTGAGTGCAGTGTCTGCTGGGAACAAATGTGAGTTTATCTTGTGTTGACTTTGGTTATCTGTGTTCCTGGCATCCTCCCAACCATGTTGAATTACTGCCATTCCTTCACGTCTGGAATTCCTTCTCCTGCCCTGCTGGACTAATTACCTCACCTTGCCTTGATTGGACTTATAGTTACAATTTTTATTGGCTACTTTTTGGGTTTGATTCTCTGCAGCCAAAGGCTGTTCCTGGGAGAGTTTTTCTCTAGCCAGAAGATAACCAGGACATTGGGGGCAAAGTTGGAGCTAATAAAGGGACTCCTACTGATTATCTAACTATGTTGCCTTTGTGCCGTGCCCTGGATCATCACAGGTATTGTAGCCTCCCCTTGTACAGTCCAGATTCTAGGATTTTTTTTCTCTCATAATGCACTATGATAATAATGCACTCCCTGCACTATGATTAGCTTTGGGGCTATCCGGTCCACTGGCCTGAGACCCTATTACTGGCTTTAACAAGCTACTGTGGAAAACCTGATGCACTTTCCCTAATAGGCAGGGGAGTTTCAGCTGCATTGTGACAAGGTTAATAATCTTCATGATAGGGAAAGGTTCTATAAATTTTGGTCCTAGCTTTTTACAGGGTAGCTTTAACCGTAAATACTTGGTGGAGAGGTAAACCTTGTCCTCTATTTGGAAGGGCATGGGGGGGGGGGGGGGGAACCAATGTTTATCAGTTTGCATTTGGGGGAAAGTTGAGTAATAATGGGGCAATTTGAACTATCAGCTGACTCTGTTGCCTCTGTGTTTTGCGCCGGGTCATGACACCCACAGCTACTGTGCACTGCATTGTTGTATGCCACCTCAGCAAAAGGTAACAAGTCTGCTCAATTAGTTTGTTGGTAATTGACATAGCATCTTAAGTATTGATCTACCATCATGTTAGTCTATTCTGCCACCCCATTAGTATTAAATAAAATGCTGAGCTAAGCCCCTGGGAGGACCTAATGGATCTGATAAATTCCCTACAGAATTTGGCTGACAATTGGACCCCCCCCCCGCAGTCTGAAATGATTCTCTTAGGAACCCCATGCAGCTTATAAATGTGCTTTACAAATAGTTTGGCTACTGGCGGGCTGATAGGAGACTGGAGCAGGCTATAAAATGGGCTTGCTTGGAGAAAAGGTTGATCGTTGTCCAAATGACTGTATTTCCCCAACTCTCTGGAAGCTCTACTATAAAATCCATGATGATTTCTTCCTATGGACGGGATGGGTCAGCTACTTGTTGGAGCAATGTTGCACATTTTTTGACATAGTTCTCAATGTCCCTTTTCATCTTTGACCACCAAAATTGCCTCCTCGCCAAGTACAAGGTTTTCAGGAAGCTGAAATGTCCTTCCTGTTATGCATCATGGCTTCTTTTAAGTACTTGGATGGAAGAGCTACTGCTGCTAGTGAAGCCCCACCCTAGCATGAATAGGTGTGGCAGACAACTATTTATCCCCCTGCCAGTCCACCGATAGTCTGCACTTCTCAATCCTATCTGGAAATTATCAGAATTCTTATTGGAATCTGCAGTGCCTCCTGAGCATGTGTGTGTGTATGTCTCTGATGCCAGAAGAAAGTGAGCACACCTTCCAGGACTTCCTTTTCAAGTGTACGAAGAGAGAGACAGAGACCCCTGGTGTATAGGGCCAGTTCAGGGGGAAAGGGAGTGAGCATCACTTTCCACAGGACATAGAGACTTCGTAGCCTGCTGTGAGACAGTGGCTGTTGGCACTCCTAATAAAGGGAATGTTTCATTAACTACAAAGGGCTTTTCATGTTTGGGAGCCGAGTCAGAACAATAGTCCTTTGTTAACCCTGTACCATGGATTGGCTGGCAATTTAGTTTTTAGCTTTTGAGTCAGACCCACTCCCTCTTCAGCTCTTTGCCTTTGCATTTGTTGCCTGATGGTGGCTTTTGTTGCTTTCTGGGATGGAGGCATCATGGCGTGGACCACTTCCTTGTGCTTCTGTTGTATTGTGGCATTTGTGACAAGGTGTCTACCAAAAGATTTAGTCCCTCCATCCCAGGATGTACATAAAAATGAATCGATTGAAGTACTGGGCCCACTGAACTTGTTTAGGTGAAAGTTTCCACAGGGTCCTAAGTGCCTCGAGGTTTTTGTGGTCAGTCCATATTTCAAAAGGCACTTGGTTTCCCTCAAGGAAGTGGTGCCATGTCAGCAGAGCCCAGCAGACTGCATATGCTTCCTTCTCCCATACTGCCCACCTTCTTTCAGTCTCCACTAGCTTTTGGAAGGTGTAAGTGCATGGCTGTAACTTCCACTCTGTGTTTTCTTGGAGGAAAACTGCAGTCACTGGCATCCACTTGGGTGATAAAAGGCTGCTCTGGGTCTTGATACTTAAGAATTGGCTCTTTGGCAAAGAGTCTTTTAAGCATCTCAAAAGCCTTCTGTGATTCAAGGGTCCATTTTAAGGGCTGACTTGGCTGAAGTTTCATTCCCCACTCTGGTCTTTAAAAGCTCAGTGATTGGGAGGGCGATTTCAGCAAAGAAGGGAATTAACTGTCTGTAGAAATTAGCAAACTACAGGAAGCTTTGGAGTTGCTTGTGGATTCAAGGGGGTTGCCAATCTAGGACAGCTTTGATTTTTCCTGGGTCCATTTCCACCTCCTCACTTGACACCTGATATCCGGGGTAGTCTAGGATGGCCTTGTGAAATTCACACTTGGATAGTTTAGCATACAGGTTTGCCACTAGGAGTTTCTTGTGCACCTGGTGCACCAATTTGATGTGTTCCTCAATAGTTTTGGTGAAGATTAGAATGTCATCTAAATATATGAGGACCCCTTTGTACAGGTGCTCATGCAGCATGTCATTGATCAGTTGCATGGGTCCCCTGAAGGCTGAACAGCATCACTTTGAATTGGAAACTCCCCAGTGGGCAATTGAATGCTGTTTTTCCCCTCCTTAATCCTCACCCAGTAATATACCTCTTGCAGGTCCAATTTGGTGAAGATTTTCCTCTTTGCTAAGTGCAACAGCATGTCTTTCATCAGGGGGAGTGGATACATATTTTCCATGCAGACTCTGTTAATTCCTCTAAAATCCACACATAGCCTCATTGTTCCATCTTTTCTTCTCTTTGAACAGCACTGGCGTAGCCACCCTTGATTTTGCTGGCTGTATGAACCCTCTGGCCAGGTTCTTATCAATGTACTTCCTTAGCTCCTTCATTTCATCACCTTGGGGTCATGGAGTTCAGCTTCACTTTGGGTGGTTTCACCTCTGTCACAATCTCTGTTTCGCAGTCAGTGGGGTGATGAGGGGGCCATGTGTTGCATTTTGCTCACTGAAAACTTCTGCTGGGTCCTGGTATTCTTCGGGAATCTGTGAGGTGTTCTGATGCAGCCCTCAATTTCTTGCTTCACTTAGTGTCCTTCAGATGCTGGACAGCTCCTCTTTCTGGAGTGCTGGGAGGGGGAAGATGGCCTATTCCTAGCCTTAACTTTTTCTTTCCCTTGGGGCCCCATTTGTCTAGCCAGGACACCCAGGATCACCGTCTCTGTCATTTTTAGCACCAGTACAAAGCGGATGATTTCCCAGTGCTGCCCATCTCTAGCCTTACTGGTTCTGTGAGTAGTGTGGCAGGGGTTCCCCCTATCAGTGATCCATCAACCTGCTCAAATCTTATAGGCTGAGTTTTGCTCTGATCTCTAGCTTCAGGACAGTTTGCAAACTGACTAGGCAGTGGGTGCATCCTGAGTCTATTAGGGCTTCCACATTCCCCTGGATCCAAGTCTTTGGTGCAACAACTTTCACAGAGATGGTGAAGGGGAGGATTGGCTTCATTTATAATCAGGTCTCTTCTCCCTCATTATTGATATCATGGGGTGCAGGCTGCTGGGTGTTCCTCACTTAGGGGAGGATGACCTGGTGTGTGAACTCTCACCTTTTGTTGGGGCTTCTTTGCCTTGGTGGGCTCCGGTGGCTTCCCCTTTGGCTGGGAAGCTGGTTCTAGACATTCGGCCACCTGATGGCCTTGCTGGCCACAATGGAAGCACTTGATGGGTGGTCCCGAGGCTTTGCTAGGGGACTCTGCGACTTGGCCGGAATTTGATTGTCTCCCAAGCTGGCACTTCTCTGACTGGGCCTTTGTCTTTTGCGCCATGGTTCTGCACTTCTTGTACCAATTGAGTTTGAGATCCATTGCCACTGCCATCTGATACCATTTGTGGATCTGGTCAAATGCATGTGTGCAGCAGCTCACAGACCAGGCCCTCCTTAAAGAAGTAGACCAATAGGCTCTCTGGCCACTGTCACAGCTTCCCAGCCACTATCCAGAACTCTTGGACATACTCCTTAATGGACCAGCCCTTCTTCTTAAGCTCATGGATTTCTACTTTGGCTTGCAGGGCCTGGGAGTCATCTTCAAATCTAGCTCTTAGCTCTTGAAGAAAGGTGTTGATGTTCCCCAACTCTGGTGTGTCCTCATCATGGAGTTGGGTCAACCATTCTGTTGCCTCTCCCTCCAGATTCATGGTCACTGCACAGACTATTGCCTGGTCACTTGGGTAGTCTGCCACATGATTGTCTATATGAGCTCACACCTGATTCAGGAAGAATGCAAGTTTCTCTGGGTCCCTGTCAAATGTGACTTTTATTGGGGGAGGAGTGGCTGATCAAGGAGGAGGTTGCGATGGCACCAAAGCTGGAGGCCAATGCCCAGGGACCCAGTTGGCTCTGGGATAGTATGCCCATGGTAGGGATCCCTACCACCCCAGAGGGTTGTGCAGGTGGCGGGCAGGCTCACCACCTCATGATGGCATGCAGTGCTTCACGGTGGCCCTGGGCTTTACTGTGCCATTGGCACCTGGGAGGGCTACTAAGCTGCTATGGCTGGACCCGGGCTGTGGCACAGTGGAAACAACAGGGTAGGTCAGCTCAGGATCACTCTGGGCGGTTCAAACCTACACGCCTATCCCATCCCCTTGATGCTTATCTGATAGAACCTCTCCTGCAGGTTCTCTACTGTCTCACCAGGGAAGGGCAGATTTGTGCAGCTCAAGGGTTCCACTCACCCTCCAGTGTGGGGTGAAGGTGACTGAAGTCCTACGTGGATGTCAACGGGAATCCATTCCAACCTTCTGGCCAGAGCCCTGGTGCTGGAGGTCTTCTTTGGCCCAGTACAAGTCCCCAGTGGCTGGTGTCTCCTTCCGGACCTTTGGCTGGGTCACTGCCAGGAGGGCGACATCCACCAGCATTGCTGCCATCCTCAGGCTTTCAGTATGGACCACACTAGCACCGGTAATTCCTTCTCTCTCTTTTTTTATTTACACAGCCTTCCCTGAGTCTTCTCTACTCCTTCGAAAGATTGGGTGATCAACCAGGGCTCAGGACTCCGGAGAGTGGAAAGTTAGGAGAGTTGGTTTAATGTTAGCATTCCAAGTAATGCATCCACCAAAATCAGAATTCTGAGGCAAGTAGATTCCTCAAAGAACATGTTTATTGGATAAAGCTAATGAAAACCAACTCTAAAAGTCCCTGTGGTTTTAGCTTAATTAAAAGAGCAAATATTTTTGAGAGTTCCAGTTTGCAGGGCTTCGGAATCCGCGATCGTGCATGGTTTCTGCCTGGGCTTGCCGCTGGAGCGTCCCGAGCCAGCTGGCTTCAGGGCTAAGCCACCCCGTAGAGGTGGTGAAGACGGGGGAGACCCAGCAGGGTTTGAGGGGAGCCGCATCTCTCCTCCTCAGCTGGCTAAACTCCCTTTCCCAAAGGTGGTAAGAGCGGCGGTCAGAAATGGCCACCTCAAAGAAGCACTCAGCCGGAAAAGAAAGTGCAGGAGGAAGTTAAGAAGTGAAAGTTTTTGGCTGACCAGGACAAAAAGTAACAACCAGGGTACCCTGGAATTTAAATTTTGCAAAAGACACATCACTCCCAAAGAAGAGTCGGAAACAGCGAATGAAAGTGAAAAGGGAAAGTTTTTTTCCCTTCACTCTCCTTCCTCACGCTGAAGATCTGAATAAAGAAATCGGAAAAATCCGCTTTCGCACCAACAGGTAATTAAACTGGAAATATAATTAAATGCCAAAGATTTCTGAACACTAAAAAATCCTCTTTTTTTGCTTTAAGTGGGAAGGGAGAGGAAAAGAATAAGGGCAGGACTTGGAAGGAGGAGACTGCTTGGAATTCAAAAGAATTTAAAGTTAAATCTTAACAAGACTTCTAAAAGGATACATTTTAACTGGAACTTTGCAACTAAATAGTAACCCCAAGAAGAGAAAGTGAAAAAAGAAGAAAGTGTTAAAAGAAATAGCTTGTGTGTATTTGGATTGCTTGGTGATTTTGGGACTTTTGGAAATCATATTTGAATGACTAAAAGCAATTGGGTGGTTGTTGTTGTTGTTGTTGTTTTTTAAAAAAACTCTACAATGGCATCACCTCTGGATGAACTGAATGAACTGGATGAATTGAAAATCGAATTTAAAAAATATAAAGAAGAGGAACAAGAAGGGAAGGGCTCCTTTGGCTCCATTTTTCAATTCTTAGAAATGGCGATTGGTGTCTACAAGAAACAACAAGAAAAGACTGCGCAACAAGAAGATTGGGACAAAGAAGAAGCCATTTTTAATGAACAAGTAATTCTATCTGGGGAAGAAAAGGAAAAGTGGGGAAAGAGAATGGAGAATTTAAGACCTAAAAAAACAGCCAAAAAAGGGAAAAATAATGTGAAAAGAGGATATAATGTTGGAAAGCAACAGAAAAGGGGAATACAGAAGAGGGAAATAGAGATGGAGAGACAGGGGGGTAAAAAGGGGAGAGAGAAGAAAAGGAAAAAGGAAGGGAAGTTACAAAGGTTTGGAGCAAGATGTAAAGAAACAGGATTTATTCAGAGATAATGGGTGAAAATTTAACTGAAAAAAGGGATTCTGTAAAGGTACATAAGATTGTATTGTTATATTAGTAATAGAAATAATATTAGAAAATTGGAAACAACATATGATTAAAAAATGGATTAAAATAGTTAGTGTAATTTAGTGAAACTTTTGTGAATAAAATAAATGAAATGAAATAAATCAGAGATTTGAACTAGGAAGGAATGGGAACATTTGAACTACTCAACGTTTTATAAAATATAAGTGAAGTGAGAGGGAAGTAATTATGGAAAGTTTATTAGTGTTTCCATAGAAATATGATACTTATTTGAAAAGTAATGTGTAAAATGTTCAAGATTTGAATGAATATTAATATTAATGATAGAATCGAATTGGTATGGATTGTTGTTTTAATTATGTTATATATTTATAATTTTTTCTTTTTAAAATAGATTGTGTAGTTTTAGAATGTACCAAGCAGAATCCGAACGGAAGTTATGTATTATATTAAGTGTTATAATTTTAGGGGAAAGATAAAAAGGCATCATACTCCAATCAGTGATCACAGGAGAAATTTTGCTTAATGAGAAAAGATAATAGACAGCTGAAACAGGACAGACAAAGAATATAAGTATGATGATTTGAATTGAGATGAAATAAATAAAATAAAATTAAGAAAGTTGAAAGAGGGGAGAAGTTATATAGAAAATGTAGAATGGTAATAAGATATGGAATGGAATATAAAAATGAGCATGAATTTGAATTTGTGTCTGCACGAAGAGATGTAACCCGGGATCAGGCTGCTTTCAAAAAAGATGTTTTATGTTTTTATGTTCTATGTTTTGTTTGTTTATGTATTGTTTTTAAAAATCAATAAAATTTTCAAAAAAAAAAAAAAAGAGCAAATATTTTTCCACCCTGATGTCACCGGCCACATTGTCCAATGAAAGTAGCTGGCAGGCTGCTTGGTCACTCCTCTCCTCTTTCAACTGCTATTCTGTTTGGATGACCTTGGTTTCCACAAGAAAACTTTTTGTTTTGACTTTTTGCTAGTCTATCTACCTTCCGCCCCCCCTTCCCCTTCTCAGGATTTGTGGCAACTATGAGGCAGCAAAAGATGGCTTCAGCCAGGTTCACTTCAGAGTTGACATATACATGTGATGGTATGCTACTGGTTTGGATCGGTTTTACCAAACCAGTAGTAAAAAAAGCTGAGGATCAGCTGAGAGGAGGAAAAAAAATCTCCAATCAGCTGAGAGGAAAAAGAAGAGAAAAGCGCGGGATTGCGCTTTTCTCTTCTTTATCCTCTCAGCTGATTGTAGGTCTCAGCTGGTATGAGTGACATTAGGCAAAGCTGCATGCTGACATGAAGCAAAGCTGCATGCTGACATGAGGCAAAGCATGCCCACCAAGCCATACCCACCAAGCTATGCCCACCAAACCGGTGATAAAACAATTTTAATCCCACCACTACATACAACATGTAACTAAGTTATCTAAGTTGGAGGCAGAAAAGATCTGACATTTCCACAAGAAAACAGTTTAAGAGTACCCAATAGATTTCTTACACTCTGCAATACCAACTATGCAGATCCTTCCTTGCCTTCTTCATTAACCCCCAGGGGTAGGAAACTTACTGTTTGCATGTAAAATTGCACCAAAATTCCCATTTTGGTGGCCTCTTGATTTAAAATTTAAAAATGAGCCTCTTAACATCATGTTGTCCAAATTATTTTCAGTGGGGTGGTTTTCATTGTCTTCAAAAAATAAAGACAAATCACCCATAAAATTAATTCACCTAGTCTTCCTCCAAGTCCTTTAAATCCCAACAAAGTTTATATTATCTGTCCTGACATAAAACTAACAACGGTTAACAATGGTTTCTTCATTATATTTTACTTCATTTGAGTTAAAAAGTTAGGAAACCTCTGACTTGCGGTTTGCAAGGTTTCGGCGGCGGCAGGGATTCGCGATACCGCGCGATCCCTGCTGCGTTCACCGCCAAGGTTCCCCCGATCCGTTTGGATCTGGGGGATATAGCTGCCCCGTAGAGGCAGCTGAAGACAGGGGGGATCCAGACAGGGGCTTGGAGGTGTCGCAGACCCCCTCCCCAGCCGGCAAAACCTCCTTCTCCCAAGGCAGAGGAACGGCGGTCAGCAATGGCCGCCACGAAGAAATCTGCAGCCGGACAAGCAGGTGCAGGAGGGAGAAAGCTGGAAGAAATATGAAAGCTGCTTTTAACTGGGACAAGGCAAGAGAAAGTGACCTGGAATCTTGAAGGCTGCTAAGTATACATTGTTTCTAGTGAGAGTTACAAGCTGCGAATACCCTAAAAGGGAAAGGTGTTGTTGTTTTTTCGTTTCACTCTCCTTCCTAACGTGACAGCGGATGGGAAAAATCTTTTCGGCTGTGAGTGGGAAGGGAGAGGAGAAAAAAATTGGAGCAAAATTTGAAAATAAGGAGAAGATTGCCTAGAATTTTAAAGAGTTTAAACATCAATAAGGCTTCTAAAAGATATATTTTAAAGGGAACTTTGTGATTAAACTTTAACCCCAGAAAGAGAAAGTGAAGAAGGAGAAGGTATTTAAAAGAAATAGCTTGTTTGGATTGTTTGGTGATTTTGGAACTTTTGAGAATTATTTCTGACTAAAAGCACTTGGGTGGTTGTTTGGAAAAAGTTTTTCTCTACACAATGGCATCACTTGTGGATGGACTGAAACTTGTATACCAAAAATGTGAAAAAGAAAAGCAAGAAGGGAAAGATGTCCTTGGCACTCTTTTTCAATTTTTAGAAATGGCGGTTTATACTTATGTAAAGCTGAATGAGCAACAGGATGGTGGGGACAAAGAAGAAGCCATCTTTGATGAACAAATAACTTTGGTCGGAGAAGGGAAAAAGAAAGAGAAAAAGGAAAAGAAGACTTTAAGATCTGGAAAAACAACCCAAAAAGAGAAGAATAAGGTGAAAAGGGGACATTATGTTAGGAAACAACAGAAAGGGGGAAAGCAGAAGAAGAAAAGGGAGATGGAAGGGGGTAAAGAGGACAAGGAGAAGAAGAAGCAAGGGAGAAAGGAAGGGATGAGAAGCCTTAATGGTGGGGAGCAAGATGTGAAGAAGGAAAAGTTTTTTAGAGATAATGGATAAATTTTATTGAAAAGGGGATTCTAGAAAGGTACATAAGATTGCATTTTTATATTTGTATTTAGAAATAACCATAGAAAATTGGAAATAATATGTAATTTAAAATGTGATAAAATATTTAGTATAACCTAGTGAAATTCTTGTTAAGAAAAAGAGAGTACTGTAATGAAATATGATTTAAGTATGTGATGTGGGGGGGGGGGGGAATAATTTTGGAAAACAT